AAATATTTGTATTGGAACAGTTTTCGACGTAGTAATGCTGTAACATATTTCAGCCACTAGGGGGGGGGGGGGGCAAAACAGACAGTAAATCGAATCCAATCCACTTTATTTATATAGCACATATTAAAACAGAGGGTTTTACCGAAGTGCTTCACAGCAGACATAACATTATAATAAAATATAAAATTACAATAATAGATAAAAGCCACACATAAGAATAGATAAGAAGGCACATAAGGGCTATGGACAGACAAATAAAAGCATAACAATCGATAAAACATAGCTCAAACTGACTCGAAAGCGAGGGAAAAGAGGTGGGTCTTCAGGCGGGACTTAAACGTTTGAAGGGTGGGCGACAATTTGACATGGGGGGGCAGGTCGTTCCAGTAAAGTAAAGGAGAGAGGGGGGGACAGGAGATGGATATATGGTCGAAAGGAAGGGAATATGAAAACAGACGTTAAGGGAACAGATTGAAGCCACATGGGGAGAAACTAAAGAATAAAGAAAGGAGGAAGAGGAGGTCAACAGAAGGACAAATTGAGTGAAGAAAATTGGTTTGGAGGATAGAAGGAGAGAGGGCATGGGAGACCGGTATAACATTTGTCACAATCTCAGCGTTACAAGCTGCCTGTATGATTGTGGCTGTGGGGGAGTGGGGGGGGGGAGTAGAAACAAGCAGCAGAGCTTGTCCTTAAAGCTGTAGTTGAGGCAAATATAATATTGATACACTCGAGCCATCTCAGGTCAGCTGAACTCACTCCAGGGAAGAGGGAGAGGAATTCAACAGAAGTAAAACTGCTATGTTACTTTTCTAATGTTGGAGAAGTGTGTTATTAAAGCTTGTAATACGATAGAGGATCACTTCATGTTGTTTTTATTAATAAGACGACCACTTTTACAGCATTAGCAGATACACTATAGAAATGTGTTTATTTTACCTGCATCTTTAAATAATTAAATAGTTTCCTTGTTGAAGCAATGTATGCAGCGATTTTAAAGAGGCCTTCCCTCCAACACCTTCTACGTGATTGGCTAAGGGGCGGGACATCTCTAAGCTGGTTTCAGAAAGAGGGTGAAAAGAGGTGCACAGGCAGTGTGAGAAAAATAAAGAGCTTTTTGAACATTAAAGCATGTTGACATGTCACACGAAATACAGATATAAACCTGAGAACGAGCATGGGAGGCGTGTGGTGCAGTGGGTTGTGCGTTGGTGTTGGGATCATGGGGTCACAGGTTCAAACCCCACTGCAGTCATCATGTCGTTGTGTCCCTGAGACACTTCACCCCAAATTGCTCCTGTGGGGATTGTCCTCAGTATTGAGTATGTAAGTTGCTTTGGTATAATAATAATAAAAGGGGAGGGCCCCTTTTAGCAAACAGAAGTTACGGTGCTCATGTAAAGTTTGAACATTTACATTTCGTGACAACTGAGCAAACTCCATCTTTTGATTTAAATAGTTTGGTAGGATTGAAAGCTGAAGCCCGAGTCAGTAAATAGAATTGGACTTGTTCTATCAACTGTAAAATAAATGTGAAGCAGTTAACCAATGTGTTATTTTGGAGGGAAAGACTGCATTTACTCCTCCTTTCCAGCAGACATTGTTTCCTCCTTCCCTGCATCACTACTTTTTTCATTTGCTGCTCTGATTCCCTCCTCCTTGTGTTGTTTCCCCCTTTAGCCCCACCTCTCAGCACCGTACAACAACCTGACATCGCTTATACACGTTCATCCAAGCAAAGAAAATCCCATTGCCTCCTCTAGCGTTTGTCCCACAGCTCTCCCGTACTGTAGATAGCAGTGAAACACAGATAGCAGCAATCTGCAGAAAGCCTTGGATNCTATGGACAGACAATAAAAGCATAACAATCGATAAAACATAGCTCAAACTGACTCGAAAGCGAGGGAAAAGAGGTGGGTCTTCAGACGGAACTTAAAAGACTTTTAAGTTCCGTCTGAAGACCCACCTCTTTTCCCTCGCTTTCGAGTCAGTTTGAGCTATGTTTTATCGATTGTTATGCTTTTATTGTCTGTCCATAGCCTTTATGTACCTTTTATCTATTCTTATGTGTGCCTTTTATCTATTATTGTAATATTATATTTTATTATAATGTTATGTCTGCTGTGAAGCACTTCGGTAAAACCCTCTGTTTTTAATATGTGCTATATAAATAAAGTGGATTGGATTGGATTGAAATGACGGATAAATAGCCTGGGCCAAAACCTTTTGAAGAGCTTTTTAAGAACAGGAAAATAGAGAAAAGTAGACAGGAGAGTGCAATGGAGGATCTGATGGTTCACCGTGTCGAATGCAGCAGACAGGTCCAGAAGGATGATGACAGAGGAGAGGGATGCTGCTTTAGCCGTGTGCAGTTCCTCAGTGACAGCAAGGAGAGCAGTGTCTGTTGAGTGACCTGCCTAGAAACCAGACTGGTGCGGATCCAGAAGGTTGTTCTGATGGAGATAACAGGAGAGTTGTTTAAAGACAGCGTGTTCAAGTGTTTTAGACAGGAACGGGAGGAGAGAGACAGGCCTGTAGTTTATAACATCAGACGGGTTGAGAGTGGGTTTCTTTAGGAGAGGGTTTACTCTTGCTTCCTTGAGACTGTTTGGAAAGTGACCAGAAGTTAGAGAAGTGTTGATGAAATGGGAGAGAAATGGTAGATATCAGGAGCGATAGTCTGAAGGAGGTTTGAAGGGATAGGACAGAGGACAGGTGGTAGGACGGGCAGAGGTAAAAAAAGAAGAGCGAATATCATCAACCTTTTTTCAAAATAAGATATATTTAAGATATAAACAACAGCTATGTAATCTGTCAACATAAAAAAAATGTCTGAAATCTAAATGTGTTTAATTCCCTCCTCCCCTGCTCCCTGCTGTGCGAGCCCAGCCGCTTGATGGGCTCGGCATCTGTGATCTCCAGAGAGGAGCAGTTTGAGGACTACGGGGAGGGGGAGGATGTGGATTTCACTCCCAGCAGCCCTTGCCCAGAAGAGGAAACCCGAACAAATGGCTTCTCCGACCTGGGGTCCTCGCTTCCCTCCAGGTTGGTGGTCCAGTTAGAGCGCACACCCTGAATCACATGCTCTGGTATTATTATCTGATTTTTCAGGGACTGGATGGCAGATGACTTTCCTCCCTATCAAACCAAAGTTTTGATCTCCCTCGGTTCACTTGCTGCCAATGTTAGGTCCGTAGCAAAGCCTTGGCGTGTCTTTTCAAAGCTGTGATGGAAATTGAATGAGCAGAGTACTGAGAAAAAGGATGCTGCAGACTGATCTGATGTCTGACAAACTGAAGGTTTGATCAAAAGGCTTGGCCAAGGAGAATAGAAAATGAACAATTCAAGTGTACAGCCCTTGCCTGTCCCTTTTACCCTAAACATGGCAAGCAATACACTTCTTTATCTACAGATGAGTCATTTTGATGGCTCCACAGATCCTAGTCATAACTGTCTGTATCGTCTCTGTCTCAGACTTTCTGTGCTTGAACTTCACTATACTTTATATACATATATATTTAACAAACATAATATTAATTGTTCGTCTGATTCTAAGAAAGTTTAGATATTTCTACTTTTTCTACTCCCAAAATCGGTACCTACAGTAAATGTAGCTTGATTCAAGAGTGTGGCATTAATGAAAGCACTTCTCCCAAAATGCAATGCACAACGGAAACAGAGCAGAGGCTAACAGCAGTCAAACATTGATCCCAATGTGAGTAAAATGTCAAAATACAGAAAAAAACAAATACTTACTGTCACTACAGAGTAATCCATACCATCATGGGGAAAGGCCTTTTTTTTAAGGAAGATGCCTTAAATAGAAACAAAAACAGTTTTAATTTGAGCTAACTCTGAAAGGTTTTGTATTATATTAAATGTCTAGACCTAATTTATTTGAGTATTTTGTTTCTATTGATGGTTGCTGTTACATTATATGCTGCTAGCCCTTGTCTCGTGTATTCACTACCTCTCTGACTTCCAAGGTGTTATAATCACAGCCCCCCTTCAGACCTGTAGACCGATGCTCTCTCTGTGTTGCAGTGCGGGGCAGACTCCTCAGAAGATGCGGCAGCTGTATAACAGCGAGCTGCTGGACATCTACTGCTCTCAGTGCTGCAAGAAAGTAAATCTGCTCAACGACCTGGAGGCTCGCCTGAGAAACCTGAAGGCCAACAGGTGAAACAACCGAGCAGAAACACAACAGGGCCAAACCACAGTCCTTACAGAGCAGAGACACACTCTCCTTTCCATCAAACCCCATCTGGCCAAATCCACCCTGACTCGTCCTTGGCACTCACACGCTACACCCACATCTGAGGGCCCGGCCAGCTAGAGCTGTTGCTATAGCAACCATATCCCATTGGATGCGATGGCAGGTTTTTGTGTGTCTGTGTGAGATGCAATACATCATCAATAACACAGTATACAAAAACAAGATGGTAGATCAATGATATTATTTATTTAGAAATGGCTTAAATTGTGAGAAAAGTAAAAGTAAATGGGATTGAATGAGTCAGCATTCTGGGACCTTAACCACTGCATGTGTCAGCCAAAGTCTTCATTTACAGCTTGTATCGATGAAAAACCCCATCAATAATCATGGTTACTGATAGATAAAACATCAGAGCCAAAAATTAGCCTTAGGTTCCCTTTTTTCTTTTCTTAGTCTGAATGCTAACTCAACAGATACATGAATAATCAGTCATCAGAAATGCTTTATTCGACACACTGCGGGAACATTGAAATTGTTGCAGCAAAGGGAAAGTGCACATTAAAGGTAAATAAAATAAGTAGACTAACATATTTTAATTGTTAAATTATTATTAAATTGTAAGTTGCGATTGTAAGTCTATATTTCAATGTTATTTAAGAACTGTGTAGTAGCATCCAGTAGTAACAATATTTAACTGTTTAAAAGTTATATACAAGATGTATTAAGTTGTTAAGACAGCCCTATCTGCTGTTATGTCATTGATGCCAGCTCAGCAGATCAGAGCTGTCTGTAATGACACGTTACTGAGGGTCTTAGCTCAGGGACTCTGTCCAGACGTATGGTGATTATCCTACAGTTTCTTCTGCACATCTACATACAGGGGTTTAGGACACTAACACATCGAAAAAAGTTCATTCAGCCCCATGAAAAATGATGAATCACTCCCACTCTGTTAGGATCGTTCTTTCTTAACACACCCCGTGATCAAGGGAGCCTGACCACCAAGTGAATAAAAGTGCCTTCTGGTGCACTTGGCAATGATCCTGAAAACACCGCCCATTAGAGCATTATGCTCACAGAGCAGCAACTAACTATCAATTTAACGATGTTTTTTTTCTCTGCGCGTGAGAAGTGTCCATGCTAACAGTAAGTGTAGTGTCAGCAGTCAGTGTGTGACTAGGTCTCTCTCTTGTGTTTCAGCCCTAACAGAAAGATTACCAGCACAGCGTTTGGACGGTGAGTGACCCAACCTTCCTGATCACCTTTAAATGAAAATACTGCACTGAGGGGGGGCAATCACTTGGGACGGACGGACGGACGGACGGACGGGGTGTGTGTGTGTGTGTGTGTGTGTGTGTGTGTGTGTGTGTGTGTGTGTGTGTGTGTGTGTGTGTGTGTGTGTGTGTGTGTGTGTGTGTGTGTGTGTGTGTG